GCGTCATGTTCCAACTCGAGAGGACTCCACCACGCAAAGTCGTACAAGGCGGCCACCGCTGGAGGCTCAGAAAACAGGAGACACCGCACGTGGCGTCGAGGGTGCTGGAGAGCTGCAAAGTCAACATGCCACGAGCAATGCGGTTGACGTCGTAACGATGACAGAAGGCATGAGGAGTCGAAGACTTGATTTGCTCCTGAGGAGAAGAACAAAGAATTCTGCTTTGGCCTCTGATGTTTCGAAAATAGAAACCGGACAGGGTAATAGCGATGATGAAGCAGAACGTAGCCAGGTGTCTCCAGAGCTTAGCATGAGTGAAAGTAAGCAGAATGCATACTCGATCTTATTCCATGCGGGATATTCATCAAATGAGCCACTGAGCTACTCAGCTGGAAGAATTAATGAGACTGGAGAGAGAGGCACGAGCTTCAAGCCAGCCCAAATGACTGCTGCACCCATGCCGGACTCTGGTCATGTCAGGGCGGTGTCACCGCAGCATTCCCCTGTGACGGGCGCCCAGGGCAAGTTAACTACAGCGGAAAATGTTGATGGCTCTCTGGAACTGAAGCTGCTCCACCAGACTGCTGAACGTTTGAATGCACCGTTGCCCTCACTTGAATCCGAAGGTAATTCGCACTGGTTGACAAAAAACTCAGCAGAAGATACGCCCATCAAAGAATTGGTACGGCGAACCGCATATCACAATTTGAAGCCCATTGCATCAGGAGATGTAAATCCTGAAGTTTTGCATGGACCAGCGGAGCCTGTTGTTGAAGGCAGCAGAGGAGGCCACTTTCCTCGGCGACTAGGTTTTACAAAGCTACCTTACGCATATTTTATCATGGGCGTCAACCAATGGAGGTACATTCATGACCCTGTTCATCAGCTGAAAATGGAGGCGGCCGCACAACACGCAGCAGAGAAGGCAGCCTTGAAGAAAGGTGTCCAGATCCAGGAAATCAGCCCCTTGGATCCAACTACAGGACTACTGGGTCTTCCAACTCAAGCGGGGCCGCAGGTCTACACACATGATTTAAAGGAGAAAAAGAAACCACTCATATCTCCTCTCAAAATCCGAGAACCTGACATGTGCTACCGGCAAGAAAAACGGAAGCCTCTTGTGCAATGCCCCGTAGGATTTACTGAAAACAAAGAAGGTGGCTGCTACATGTTTGTAGCTCCTACGTTCACTTGTCTCGCAGTAAGTCTACCACAGACTCTGCCAGTCCATTCGCTTCCCATTTTGTCTAAATGGTGCAGTACGACGTATTCGTGCAAGCGTTCGCTCTTGCGTGCACTCAAAGAAGCAGTTCAGACATCTTTACCAGCTCCTTAGGCCAGGGAATTTTTGTTTGTTCTGATGCCTGTAGGGATACTTTTATGAGAACGGACAATGCATACAGCATAGAGAACTCGACATCGCAGTCCCTCCAAGTGAAAAGAAGCCGAGTGGAAAGGCCAAGAGGGGCTGAATGCGAAAATTCGTTCCCAGTGCTGGGCATCCGACAACACCAAGCCGGTCGCGTCAAAGTGCATGTTTGTCCCGGTCCATTCCATACGCTAGCTAAATACACACGCCAAGGAGTGGCTGTAAACCACGCTACATTATAGGATTAGTCGAGGTCGGCTGACAAGAGGTCACCGCTCGTCAGCAGAGCGTTGCATCGCCATTTGGGATTTCTGTGAAGGCGCTCATCAATGCAAAGCCAAAATTTCTACTTTCGAAGCTGGCACTGCAGACCAGCCTTTGGTTTATCAGCTCTCCCAATTGGCAAATTGAAAGCAGTCTGCTGCTAGAAGCTCACTCGATGATTTACACTAGAGGCTCCAGTCAAAGCAGAATGAATCAGGCATACATAGGCCCTTGTTTGGTTATATGCTTGTTGCTCTTAACATAGGGTTTGTTCTGCATTGAAACTCCCAATCCTCACAAAAGGGCCACTGCTGGCATGCCTCACATACATTTTATCTGTGAATTTTGATGGGAACTCAAGAACAAAACCGTTTACTGCAGCCTCCTTCAAGTGAATGCGATGTTGGTACGTAGAATTGTTTAAAGCCAGCGGTTGAAAGGCCTGTGTCATATTGTCAAGTCTCTCATCTGCTTCTTCCACTTATGCACCTTATATGCACCTCAGGTCTGACCTTTCACAAAGGAAACACCAGCTTTTACATGGCATTTACACTCTACAGTTTGCTCGCCTCCACACACAGGGAACAGTTCTACGGGTTTCTTGCTCAGAAAGGCGGGAAATCCGGCAGCAAACAGGATTCACATGTAGCACGGGCACTTCTTTGGCAGTTTTCCGTCACCTCGCCACTACAGCAACGAAAAACTCACACAATGCAACAACAAGTAGTCAGAAGTGGCCTGCAACGGCTGTTTGGCCTACATTTTTGTTAAAGCATTGTAGCGCGTCCCCAGAAACTCATAAAAGAAATTGAAAGAGATAAACTTTTAGGTACGCAGCATTCAAAAGGCTTACTATATTATCGCATATATCATGTATACTGTTTTGAAAGATGCCTAAATCTCGAGGCACGCTGACGTCATACGGGAGATGCCACTGAGGCAAGATGCTAGTGCTAAATGCTGAAGCGGCTTCACTGCACTTACTGAGCGGTGGCTATGATTCCCAAAATTTCAATTGCCATGGGGGCCAACTAACTATGCCAAGCAGGAAGTTATCTAGCTGTTGCAATAAACGCAGTCTGTGTTTCATCTCGTAGTGCACGATGCTCATCAGGGAACGCTACGGGATTTCGCGGACACTTTGTAGCACTGTGTTGTGCAGAAGCGTGGAGTCGTGTTAGATACTAGTGGCTGCCGAATGGTTGCCCGAGACCGACGACCACAAAATCTACATAAACCAAGAACGATAACCACAAAATCTACACAAAAGCACAATGGTTATCTGTGACAACTGCAGGCTTGCGTGCACAAATCTATGCTCTCAAGTTACTGAGGTGGCTACTGAGGTGGCATTATTAGTTCTGGGTCATGAAATCATTAGAAGTAAGTACTTTTTCTCTCAGCACATGCTAGATTGGCGTCGTGAACAGATCAGAAGTGAGTGCCTTTTACTCCCGGCGTCTTGTTTGAAAGGATATCTCGCATTTAAAGTTTACTGCGTTGTGGCTCTTTCTAGAAGGCAATTATGCATATTTTTCATATCTAATATGCATACGTTGAACGGAAAATGTTAGAACTTCAGAGTTATTGACCCCTGAGGATATCTACATCGTCGGCTACCCAGAATACCTGCTCCACGCCAGGATTGCAGTCTTTCGAGTAGTAAACACTCTAAAGCAACAGAATGCATCCTATTTAATGGAATGCCTAGTATGATGCGGAATCTCAAGCCACTAGCGATGAAAAAGCAGGCTCCGCTCGACCGGATAGCCGTTCTTGTGCATTCTTTGCGTGTCAGTGGCTACAAGGCAGCCGTATTGCTAATGTGAAGTATTCATGGAAGTATATAGTCAGCCCACTGACACTTGGTAACTGAGCACGGTAGCTTACGAACAGAAAAGGCATGTGAAACGTAGACCAGGAATTTTTTCGCTGAATGGAGAGATCCAGAATGGCAATTAGTCAAATGACCAAATCTACGACAGCCGCTTACGATATGCCCAATGTGCTGTTCATTAATGAGAAAGAGGATTGATTGATTGGTTAACGTTGGGCATGCTCCATATGAAGTCCGAACTGCTGCTACCCTTGTCGCCTTCACCAAGTTATTTAATGGTTACCAGTCCCCACCAGTAGCCGTTTCAAGAAGATGCGATTTCTTCAAAGGAAAACATAGATATGTGAAGCTCCTTGATGAACCATGAAGTGTGATGAAGGATGATGTGCCTGGTGGCACATCAGCTCAACACTAGGGGGGCACTAGAAGCAACACCAGTGGCTCACGCCTCGCGCTCTAAAATTAGTCCATCCGCTCAGCATATTTCTCCTATGTTCACGCAACAGTGATATGTATAAAGTTCTCCCGCTTCACGACGGTGAAAACATAAGATCCGCAGCCGTCGGGGTACCCAGCAGGCCCTGAGTGTCCTTCTTCAAAAATGAACTGCAGAAAGAAGTCGCGAGCAAGGCCAGAATACTTTATTTAGTATGTAGAAATCTAGCGCAAGCGCTTTCCTTCTGTGGTGAACTACAAAACACCTGGAAGATGCGTGGATGGTAAGTAAAATTGCACTTTCCCGGTCTTGTTGAATTTCGAGCAGGAACAATGCCCAGCTGAGTGAAACATTTATCTTATATTCCAGAAAACCTCATAACAAATTTCAAAGAAGTGGCGTTTGCGCTGAGCTGCTTTGGCCGTTAGCTGTTTTACGCAGAAGAGCGCGGCCGCCATGGCAGGCAAGACCACCCAGAACAGCGATCGGGGGACCGCTGGTTTCCATCAGGATCGAAATAGAAATTGATGTTTTGTATACCCTCGCAAATCAAGAGCTTATTTGGTGGTATATGAATAAAAAACTACATTGAAGGTGCCGGGGACCGGCTCCTTAAGCGGAAATATCTTTGGATTTAGTGGGAATCACCTTAGCTGCTGGCGGCACCGTTGACAGCTTATGAGCTGAAACAAAGGAAGCCTTGTGATTCAGCACTCGTATCAGATTTCTGAGACAATGCCCTATGCGTTGCGGCAAGCCTTTCCCGCTTGACTGGTGGAGGCTCGAACCAACAATTTCATAATTCATAGTGTGGCCGAGCATTCGAGTCAACAAAGGCCTCCTTGAAATTGTTCCGTAATCTCAGCCAAGTCTTTACCTTGCGGAGTCACCGCTGGCAAGGCTGTGAACACGTCAGGTGGACAAGCAGCACTATGTAGGCAACCTATTCGAGGGATGAGCGCAGTCCCAGTTCGGCGCTTCAAGTAGGGCAAAATTTCCCACTCACGGGCTGTTGAGGAGGTTTTTTTGGATTTTATTCTATTCATTAACTCATCGTCGAGGCCCGCCCATTTCTGTCGATGGGTTCAGGGAGTTACCACGACGTGTAGAGTAGCCGACAACCCGATCGTCACTGGGGAAAGGTCCCCTGCTGGAGCCATGGAGGCTCCAAGGGCGAACGAGCCAACATCGATAAGTTCGTCAGATCTCGATTCCGGAAGCGTTGCTAACTGTGAAGATGTAGAGTTGTCCGCGGGAACCGCTGACTACGAAGATGCAGAGATGCCCGCGGGTCGTCACTCAGCTGTCGTGCTTGAACTCGCCCATTCCGCGACTCCAAGAGAAAGTAACAACCCAGAAAATTACCATACTCCTTCACAGCGCAACTCGACAAGCAACAGACGAAATGGCTCACATCTTTCTTCCGCTGAGCAAACTCAAAAGAAAGGCACACAGAGCGGCAGGCAAACAACGTCGCGGCAAGAAAGCGGCACTTCTTTGCCGAAAAAGCCCCTATATATGCGCCTTCCGTGCGTCGAATCAATCGCGGTATGCCGCCCAAACCTGCGTAACATAAATTCGTGTTAACTTCTCGGTAGTGTGGCACGGCAACCGTTATCACTGGAGTTGGGAAGTAAATGCAGGTGCCCACTGCCGCTCGCATTGCGTCCTATAGAGTTGGCGTAGAATGTAGGTACTCACCAGATTGATTACACTAGCACACACGACAGAAGTTGCTGGCCATGTGGATTCGTTTGTCCTGAAGAATTGGTTCGACCAGATGTGGTACGCGGAGTCGGTTTATGTACGCTACGGCGAAGGAGCTATCACAAATGTGTCCACGAAAGGCACTGCACGCACAAAAGGTGGGCAAGATTCACAGAAGTATACAGACAGAGACAAGGAAGTTACTAGACTGGCAAGATCTGCTTGGATTTTTGTTGTATATGAGCACCGTGTTCTTGAATATAACTTATTTTGTGGATGCTACCGGGCATTTTGATTTGACTCTTTACACGATAAACTTCAAGAAATGCAGAGCATTTGTACTTCTGGTGCACTTTGTCTGAATTGCAGCACTTTATTTGAGTAGATGTTCTGTATTGAGCTTGCTCAGTGGGGCTCTCATGTCGCTTCCTGCAACAGGGATTCAGGGAAACCTTGGTGGGGCCGGCTTCTGGCTAATGCATTCTGTTGTCTGCAGTTGACATGGGCCGTTCTGCGGCTACGCAATGCAGTTTTTATTCGACAGGGGCAGGCAGCGAGGCAGGGGAAATTTCTGAGCTAAAGAGGCAGCAGAGAGCCAATATTAGCCTCCTTCCCTTGCGTTTTAAAGACGAAGAGACCGAAAATGAGTTTGTATACAACAGCAGGCGCCTCATGGAGTGGCGAAGCATTTGTCTCTTCTGCTTCAAGATACTGGCCACAACATGCGTTTATGCTATCCTTGCTTGTGGGGCGTTCGGGCACTGGACATTCGTCCCGGAAAGTTTCATATTGGGGCTTCACGGAATATACGCTACCTTGATTTTTTTGGCGACATGCTCAGTTTTGGCGCCAGCCATTC